GAACAAAGGAACGGTAGGAGCAGAGAAACAGGAAGCACAAAGAAACCGTGCACACAGAGGAACAAGTAGCACAGAAGGACGCACAGCTTCACAGCCTGACACCGACGGGAAGAGTGGACCCAACGGAACTGCGGCAAACCATAATAAGCAGGATCAACAAATACAGAAGAGACACTAAGGAAATTGGTGTTTTGATTTGGGTTTGTCATTTGAGATTAAGTACCCAAGTTTTCCATTTGTTTAATGGCCCTGGATTTTAAATGATCGTGACCTCAGGTGTGAGCAATTGTTCCCGCACTAGTTTTTGTTTACATAATCGGTTTTCTTTTCTTTTGTCCAGCGTTATATTTAAAGACAAATAACGCAACCGAATACACTTAAAATTTTTTCGACAACTCATTTACCTCATATGACCCCTTGGAAGTAGCACGTTTTATACCAAAAAGTGAGAACGTGCTTAAAAGCTGATAGCGTAACAAGATATGCTAATCTATAACTGCAACATTGTGCAATACGGGCTTAATCTGGAAAGTGCACGACCGGAACGGTGAAGATAAAAGAGGGAACAATTTGTATCTACTTTCTTATCAAAAATTGATTAAAGAATTGACAATCGATGTTAAATATTGTCCTTTAAATTTGGAATACTTTTACTTTTTGTAAAATCCTTTTCAAGCTAGCGTGATGATTGTAAGAAATACCCTCTCTGCTTTCAAAACTGTCATCGTTTGTGTCGATTACATTACCGGCGAAATTAACAAGCTCGTGACGTCATAGATCAATTGACCACACGGACGTTGTGTTATATTTTGTGTGTGACAGGAAAACGATAAACGTAAACATTGCTCCAGGCGAGAGAATAGTTGTCGCTTTTATTAGGGGCTGACTTTGCACACGTGTTGGCTTTGATTCCTTCGAAGATACTCTCGTGTTTCAATGGCCAGATGATTGCTCAAAAGCAACGTAAAGGGAGATAATGCGTGAAAATGTAACCGTCGAAATTGGTGAGTCGCCAACTAATGTCTCCCAGACCAAATGGCAGGAGTTCTGGAGTTGGAAGACCCGATATCAACTCTGCGCCATTTGCGTGGTTCCTTTCGTCTTGATCTTCATTGGTTGTGTGCTCCTAGGACTGCACTGGTCTGGATCTTTTACAAAAGGCTCCAGCCAAGCTGTGCTCACTTGCGGAATGGTTTCATTTTTTAGCGGCTTCCTCGTTTGTGTTATCGCCAATTTCTGCGACGCCTGTGGCGTAACATGCAGCAAACACGAAGAAGTGAACAGCAACGACGCGCAGAACAACACCATGTTTCTAGACTTGAGTGAACTTGGACCAAGGCCAAACGATCCCGAATTCGACGACGATAAATCGGAAAACAGTCCCCAAACAGAGGTGGACCTATTTGAAAACCATTCGGAACCCCAGAGAAAATAATTCATCAATATCACCATGAGTTATTTCTGTTTACTGCATATCCGATGACAGTTTATTTTTGATCACGCAAAGAGAGTTCAATTTGGAGTTTTAGCTGATAAACCTTTGAAAATAATCATCCTGATGTGCAAGCCGTGAAATAAACCACTCGACCTCTGTTTTCTAGAAATGTTTGCCATTCGTGAACCAAGCTCATATTCTGTGGTGCGTTTTTGTTGTGAATAGAAAGGTTGCGCAATAGCAACTACAGCTTCCGTTTCGTCTGACAAAATATTGATGAATAATATACAATTTGTCTCTTATTCCAAAGAAAAATTCAATACTTTAAGAGGTAGAATGATGTAAATATTAAAATTTTGACATTGAGGACATCAATTCAAACAGTAAGACATAAAATCAAGTTTGTAATGCTTTTAGATATTTACGGTAATTTACATTCTAGCAGCCGCGAATACGTTTACGATTCGCACGTGAATAAATTATTCTAATTTAAGTGAAAATAAATGTCTTGTCTAGTCAAGTTATTCAAATATTTTTTAGATGCTGAGACTCTTTTTAGAGTGTTGCATGCTGCATAAGTTGGGGCTAGTGTGATTTACCGGCTACAGCTGACCGGTTGGAGGAGCACTTTACGAAAGAGATGTCTCCCGCTTTGAAAGATCAAGATCTCTGTTTTGTTGTAAAACAAAGGGTGGAATTAGCCCCAAAGCCGCGACAGATCAATGGACGATACAGAAGGAAAAATCAAAATTATTCCTTCTCGAAAAGTCGACGTTTGACCTTCTTTCTCTTTGCCATAGTTGTATTACTGAGAAGGAGAGCACGAATACTGAAGATAAGTATTTCAGTACAGTATTTCAATTTCCAGTAGAACACCCCAGAGGATCAAATCACGTGCGGTCACGGCTGGCTTAGTTGACATTAAACAAGCGGGATTCGTATAAAGCGGTTAATTTTTTTTTTCTAATCCATGATCAAAATATGGCTTGATTTTGCTAACTATCATGACTACTTTTTGCTTGAAAAATAGTAATGGTAGGAATAGTAATTATAATTTCAAAAAAGACAAATTTAGCCAAATGTGCGCCAACACAATTATTTTTACTATTTTACGGGTGCACAAACTGGAAAGAGTGCCCAGTGAATACTGCACTGGTAGGGGAGGGGCGACTCGAAGGGATTTGACGGAACTCATTTCAACTTTTTAAATTTTCTCAGAGTGTAAAATGTCGAATAATGCGAAAAATGTTTACAAGAAGCTATGGGATAGAGAAGTGACTCGCTATAATTTGTGTTCGTTACATAAAATAGCATCTAGAGTCGATTATGGCGGCCAGCACGCAGGAGAGGCAAACCATGCTATGTAGATTTTGAAGATGAGCTAATCTACAAACTCAACAAGTTCAGAGAAACAATAATTCTCTGGATGTGTGTTATGAAGACTCGAGCCCAAGGACACTCTGGTAGAGCAGTCATTTCTTGGGTGAAACATGATGTGCCAACCAGAGAATCTTGAAATATTTCAGAACTAATGAATGTGCCAGACTATTTTCGATGAAAAAGTTAAGTCTCTGGGAATGTTTGACCTAGAGCTAGTTTCCAAGAATGCCACTTGCACAAGCATTGGACTTGTTTCTATATCCGGTGCTCGCCCGGGACATTTCACATAAACTTCGCGTGTGGTGGTAATCACCGATGGAGTTTTTAGAGATATCTATAGAGATGAAATTTATTGTTTTGTTCTCGCTATAAGACCTATGAGTCCCTATCAATGATGACTTTCCCTTGTTCCAATCATGGTGTTACCGTGTGTGGAGGACTCTTGTACGTAATGGGTAGAGAGAATCCTAGTGGTTCAGTGTGTTGTTTCAACCCCCAAAAAATGAATGAAGCGCTCTTAACACTGAATATCACAGATTGGAATGAAGTGTCACACCATTTAATGAAGAGCTCTATTTAATTGGTGGAGAGGATTACTGGCATAATGTTCATATTTTCTTAATGGATGGAGACAAGGAGTATCAATGGAATTTGCTAATTGCTGAACACAATGCACTTTTACTAGAAGAACTTGTTTTTTTCATTGCTGATTGCAATGATGAGCATTACCTGAACAGTGCAGGGTGTTACAATCCATCAACAGGCCAATGGGCCAAGATTTCAAATATGTCTGATGTCTTAAGGTCAGCCGCTGCTGTGGCAGTTGGTGGAAAAATTGTAGTTTAGAAAACTAGTAAATGGCATGAAATATCAGTTATACCAGGTGGGTTTTGCTAAGGGCTACAAGAATCTTTGCCTAAATTACAAAATAACATTTATGAAAAACAGTCACTGAAATCCCCCTTTTCAAAGATGAGGCAGTAGCCCAGGCATTTCTAGAAACTTAAATTATTACAAGTGGAAAAAAGGACTTGGGAAGTAATCAGTGTCTATGGGAAGTATTCCTCCAAGAGCCAAATCATCAGGAATCCTTAATTTTCAATTTATGACTCATTGAAATTCCATACAGAATGTGTTAATAGGTAATTTTATAAGAGTCTTTTATTGTTTTATTGTCAGTTAACATTTTATATGATCTAGATACATTTGTTGGCCAACAGCTAACTGGTTACACATGCTTAATGTAACCAGAACAATGATAAGTATGTGAATGTGTGGAAATTTGCCACAAATTTTATGTTAAACATTTGGCTCACTTACATTTATGTAACATGATTGATATACAATGTAGTTGATGGTAATTGAAATGGAAATTTTTTTAGATAAGATGGTATTTTGAAGGGAATACTTTAGTGTATAGTTTAGGAGTGCTGACATTTTGATATTAGCATTGTTATAAGCCAGTTTTTTGGCTCATTAATGGAACATTTTTGTCTAAGCTTGATTGGGCATTTATGCACACTCCAGTCAGAAATGGTTTTTAGAACATTGAAATCATTAAGAATGGCCCAGCTCACTGCAAAGAGAGCTTGGAGGAAGAACAGAGCAGCATCCTCCTTACAGGTAGCTGTGCAGGAGACTTTCATTCCTGAGTCAAGGAGTGTTCCAGCCTGATTCAGCTAAACTAGCCAGTCTGTATGCCTTCTCCTCCCAAGAAGGGAAAATATGATGCACACAATGGTGGTGGAGGAGGCAAGGGGGGGAGTGATCACGAGAAGTTTACACCTTCTGTGCTTAATTCCCTTTGCAAAAAAGATCTTTTAACTTACCTGCATATCTTTATAAATATAGAAGTATAGACTGATGTTCTTCACTGCAAAAAAATAATTACCTTTTCTGTAATTTTATGAAGTTCTTGGTTGGCTATATATTGGTGCACAATCAGACTTTTGGTCAAAGGTTTTGCTAGTATATGAATAAATAAATATTATGGCTACTATAAAGTTTACTTATCAGATCAAGGGAGTTTCACTGTTTATGGGTTAAATGATAAGCTGGATTATACACACATTTTGACTGCTTCTCAGGTATTATTGATTTGGAGACAGACGCATAGATTATCAACATTTTGCTTATCTATTGTGGAAAACAAATCGATAATATGTGATGAAGTGTCATTATAGTAATTTCCTGGATGTAGATAGAAAATGGTGAAAGAAAGAAAATTTAAACAGTATTCCTTCGAGTTTTGATGGAAATTACGTTGCAGACCGAAAAGAAATTTAATTGCAGTCCAGAAAATACTCGCCTGGAGAGACGAGACGATTACATGACAAATAGCTAGCCATAAATTGTGTTCCTTACATGAAGTAATTTTTTGAAGGTCGGATGCGTGCTACGGTTCTACTATGGCGGCCAGCAGCAGACAGGTAGAGGCGAGAATTGATGAAAAGCCTGAAATTATGTACGATGATTTTAGGGAAGAGTTACTCCATAAACTCAACGAACTCAGAGAATCGAATTCTCTCTGTGATACAACAATTCGAGCCCAAGGACAGGATTTCCCTGCACACAGATGTGTTCTGTCAGCTGCAAGCCCTTACTTCCGTGCCATGTTTACAAGTGAATTAAAGGAAAAAGAAAGTGACCTTGTCGAGTTAAAGGAGATGAAATCTAGCACGATTAGCGATGTTCTTCATTATATTTATAACGGTGAAACAGCAATCGACTCTTCCAACGCGAAAGATTTGGTCATGGTCGCCGACTATTTGATGATACCAAGTTTGAAAAGGAAAGCTGCAGTTTTCCTCGAGAATGAAATGATAAATGTTTCCAGTTGTTTAGCTTTAGAATCGTTCGCTTCTCAGTACGATTGCAAGCAACTAAGGCAAGCCGCAGTTTCTTTCCAAACTGAGAATTTTGTAGACGTCTCTAGATCTGAAGATTTCACTTTACTTGATTCGAGAAAATTACAAGAACTGATTTGCATGGACGAGCTAAACGTGGCTGAAGAAGAGGAAGTGTATGAAGCAGTGATGACCTGGGTGAAACATGATCTACCATCCAGAGAGTGCACCCTTCCAGAATTGTTGAAATCTGTTAGATTGTTTTCAATGTCAAAATCCAGTCTTCGAAGAATACTTGATCAAGAGCTGGTTTCTAAAAGTCTCGCATGTACGAGGATTGTAATAAATGCGTTGGATTTGTTCCTTTTCCCAGTGTTGTCGCATGACATTTCACTGACACCTCGCTCGTCATTAAATAATTATGAAGATGTAGTGGTACTCACACGTTCTGAGCTACCATCTGATGAAATTTATAACGACAGAACTAATTTTTTTGTTCTCGCCACTATGACCTGGGGGTCCCTCCCCATGGTGCCTTTGAACTGCGGCGAACATCATATAGCAGCAGCAGTGTGCGGAGGGCTCTTGTACGTAGTAGGAGATTTTGGATCAACTTCATTGAGTTGTTTTAACCCAAAGCAGAATAAGTGGAGCACTCCTGATACAAAATTAAACTGCAAAGGCTGTACAGTCACATCTTTTGATGATGAGCTCTTTGTGATAGGTGGTGAGGATTCTTGGCATGATGTTCAAATATACAATCCAGTTCTTAAAGAGTTGAGACAAGGAGCATCAATGGAAGCTGCTCGTGCAGGACATAATGCAGTTTTACTTCAAGGACACATTTATGTCATTGCTGGTCACAATGGTGAGCATTGTCAGAACAGTGCAGAGTGTTACAATCCATTAACTGACCAATGGGCTGAGATTTCAAGCATGTCTGATGTTCGAAGGTCAGCTGCTGCTGTGGCAGTTGGTGGAAAAATTTTAGTTGTTGGAGGATATGGTGACATGTCAGTTTACACTGTAGAATCTTCCTGCGAAATATTTGATCCAGGGACAAATCAGTGGAACCTGGTACCTAGTCTAGATATTCCTCGTGCTAGCTGTGGTATTGTGGGTGTAGGAGACACTGTTTATTTATTTGGAGGTGAGGATGGAAATGAATGTAGGAGCGACGTGCAATGTTTTGATTTAAAAACAAGTAAGTGGCATGAAATATCAATTATTCCAATGTATCCTTATAGTGGCATACAAGCATCTTTGCTGAAATTACCCAAACATTTTATCAAAAATAGTCACTCAATATATAATCACATCTTGAAAGGGTGGAATAGTTTCTCAGTTTTTTCTAGAAATTTCAATAAATGTCAACAGGAGAAAAGGATCAGTGAAATAATTGCTCGGATTACTTTACCTGTACAACATAATTAATACATACTGTATTAAATGGTAATAAGAATGAAGTTTTTCATTTAAGGTGGTATTTTTAATGAAGTATTTCAGCATATAGTTTACTGGATAGTGACATTTTTGTCACCAGCAAAGTTTGATTGATTGATTAAATAACCAACATTTTCTTCCGAACAAAGACATGTGACTGAAAAAATGGTCCTATTGGGTGCAAACAGGACCTGATTAATTTTCAAAACCCTTCAAATCTTTAGTTTATTACTGTTTAGCATTTGATGTTCAGGTCTTAGGGAAAAAACTGTTAAGTTAATAAAAATGCAGGAAGCACTTGCATGCCTTACCAGGTTTTGACCAATTCCCTTTTAAATGAGGTTTGGAAATCCATTCTTTTCACTATTAGAGCAAACTTGCAAGGATGCCCCTCAACCTTGGCAGCAAAATATGTCAATTATTTGTATCCAGTAAGAACTTTTTCCTCTGTTATCTGCCCAAATTTGTCAGATAAAAATGATATTATTTATTGTTATTAACTGTTGTTATGATACTAGGGCTATGCCCTAGCAAAGCCATGGTGCTACATCAACTAAATTTAGTCTTGGATGAGTTGTGTAACTGTGTTTTGTGTTGTAAAAATGTAAACAGACCATTAATCAAAACAAAATACTGAACTATCATATACAGCTAAGTAATGTAACATTGTGTACCAAAATTTGATGATAACGAATCCCACACAAATGAGCAGAATAATTAACACTAAGTTCAGGTTCTATTTACAATGAACCCTCTAACTTTCATGAATGACCAAGAGGGAATTTCTCCTCACAACATCTATACAACATCAACCAGATGAGTGATGAGAATAAAGAAAAACATTAATTTGGGGATAAGTAGTTGATCCAATACTAAATTCTCTGAACTAACACTATAAGAATTGTATGGTTGACAGTAAGGAAAATCACAAATTTGATGTGGGAGTTAAAGGGTTAACAATATATTGTGATTCAAGAAAACTGAGCACCCCAGATTTATGTGACTAGAAGAGTTTTTTGGATATAATGTTAGGAATACTAAATTTAAAGGTTAGGCGTTTCCCTTTGATGGTCAAACTCAGTGTTAGAACAAAACACACAATGACAGGTTAGTTTTGTGTATTAGATGCTAGGTGCATCCTAAGCTTTGTTCCCAGGGTGCTTTTTAGACTCCACTTGTGAGTTTCAATTTTTTATGCATCTTTAGAAGATTGGTTATATTTATTTCTGTATTTTTTTTAGATTAAATATAACAAATGAATAATCTTACAAAGTTTAGATTCAACAATGACTAATAGTTAAAAGTTTCCTAGTATTCTCCTCGTATACCTGATTTATAATCATTTGCACTCAAAGCTTATTTTTATTTCTAGAATTCTCAGTAAAAGGCTCCCTCTAGCTTTAACCCTTCTGGATTTTCCTCCTTCTTAAGAGTGGACCATGGTCAAATAACTACTGCTTGCTCAAAAATATGGGGAACTTAACAAAGTTTACTCAAATTTCTTAGTCTTTTTGGCCAGGTGACCTCTTAACTCTTTAACTCCCTTGAGAGACCAAGACATCATTTCTCCTTACAATATCAATACAATATCAACTAGATAAGTGATGAGAAAAAAGAAAAATATAAATTTGGGGATAATTAATTGATCTAATACTAAATTCTCTGAATTAACATTATAAGAATTGTATGGTTGACAGTAAGGAGAATGACAAATTTGATCAGGGAGCTTAAGGGTTAGGCAGGCCTATTCAAATTTTAGTGATATTATGTGACTTTGATTATGATGAGGAGACAAAATACCAACTAAGTTCCTCTCAAGTTCTTTGTTTTTACTTGACTTCGATAATGAGCAGAAACGGCTTTTAAGATTAAAATGAGCTCACTTGAAGATTCTTCATCAGTCTAGTTGAATTCGTTTCTCAGTCGGTACACAGGGTGATATTGCACAATATTTCATACCCTCAGATCTTGTCACAAATGTTTCCAACCGTATGTTCCTCGGTAGCAAGAGGTCAGAGTGTCTTTTGGAAATGACTCTGAGTTCGTGTTGTCATTCAGTCATACGTCCTGTTCCCCCGACAAAGAATCTGGAGATGAAGGCACAGTGGATTAGAATTACTTCAAATAGCCTGCGGCTTTTTAACTCAAGGCTCGGCTCTTTCGTACATGTGACGGAGATAAGCCGACTTTTAAAACCGCAAAAACTAATCTGCATCCCATCTTGCGTATGTTGAATCTACTGTGTAATTTGTAATTTGTTACGCGGAACTTCTGTTATACAATATGAGTACTTAGGAGCACTAACGACAAAAGATGTTGAGCGTGGAAAGATCTCCTCCCACAACTTTCACTAATCACGTTTATCTCGAAAATGTTAATACATGCGTTCCACGTGTTCTAGAAAGCCTTGCCTTTTTCACCCTCGACAACAACCCACTACAAGTATTCAATTAGTAACTCCATCCATGGGTTATAACTCAGACCAGAGACCAGCTTAAGGTCAGCACCCACATCATCAAATTAACATCACTTTCCACGTTTTCCAACATTCTAGTTTGCCTTTAAGAAATAAACTTATGGTTAGGCAGCCAGATGTAAGATTAATACAGTATTTCAATATTGCGGCTTAGCGCCGATCCTGCGGAATCTGGATTTCTTTTTTTTTTTTTCTTTTTTTAGAACGCCGGAAAAAATTTGGAAACGGCAATCGATGTCGAACTGGTAAAAAGTGTAACTAAAAGATTTTGCGAGCCGTGTCTTTGTTAATCGTTGCATTAAAAAAACTTGAAATCTAAGATAAACAACATAATCAGGTGTAATTTTAAAATCTTACGTGCTTATTGCCGTGAAAGGTCTAGAGGGGGTGGGGGGAGGGGTTGATAAGACGACGGAGTGGGGAGGGGGAGTGGGAAAGAGAAAGAGTTATTCACTATCCTAACTGATGTTAGCTTTATGAACCAGGTGTGACCTTCCAGCCTATTATTGGTTTTATGTTCTATGTCCATCACAGGGAGGGCAGGAATGACTTGGAGGGAATAAGGGAAGGTTACGGTCAGTTTGTCCCGATGCACTTTCAGTTTCACCCCCCTCTTGTTGAATGTCAATTACCATCAGGTTAAAAATATCTCAATGCAAAGTATCATGATTGTTTTCGGTGTTAGAAACACACTTTTTGAAAATTTACTATCAATATCGCTCTGTCGCCAGACGGCAATACCAAAGAGGCACAGACATTGTCTAGAACGTTTTTGAACCCCACGCAAATGAAAAAAAGGAAATGAAAAAATTCCAGTCAATCCAGATTAAAAACTGTTATCGATTCAAATCTCAAAGAAGCCCGCCAGTCGCAAAAAAAAGCTTTACTTTCGTATTTTACTCCATATAGACACACCATCGCTTCTGGTTGTTTTCCATTTTATTATTTTTTTTCGATATGGGAGTCCTGTCATTTATGGGGTCAAGATTTAGTTTGTAAGTACGGTGCAAATTCTTCAAACTCGAGCCTTTATTTATCAGCAAATTTCTCGGTGTAGATGGAAAATTTTGCTTGAGGTTAGAACTAGGGTCAAGCGTCAAAATGATATAAAAAAAATATCTCTTGAAATATCAACTGTGCCTTATCTTTAACTAATACAATTAGAAAGAAAGAATCTTATACCGATCTAAAACTGAAATCGCAAGTCTGAAAAGATTTTTCATGAATTGCGTTAAAATAATGGAAGGGATGATGTCGTGTATAGCATTTGTGAAGACGAGTTTACGCTCACTTGAACCAAATTATCATTACATGGTGCTTAGACACGATCGATTAATTAGGCACCAGTAGTTTTTTTTTTTTTTGGAAAAATTCTACTCGATAGGTCATGCAATCCAACGAAACCTCTCCTGGGCCGAGAGCAACTTTTAATCTCTCCATAGTTACAAGGACAGATACAAAAAACTTTTTTTCCTACATTTTATCTTTCCGTTTGCATTTTTCAACGAGTTCCCAAGCCAGCTTTCGAGCAAGTCTTAGAACAGGCTGTCCGGTATATCTAATAGACTAAGGCAACTTGCCAGGGAGACACACAAAGCCAGCTCTAATCATTATGATAAACAATTATCAAGATAATTTACTCATGGTGTCTTTTGATCCTTTCACTTCTTAGGAGACTAATTTTCTTCTGTTTTTAGACAGAAAAAATTCTAAATGTTGCAAATCGAACCAAGATATTTCATCAGTTTCCAAAGAATTCCAGCATAAATTTTTCTATGTTCATGAAAAGACGACTAGACATTTTACTCAGCGAGTGATCGACAAGTACTCTATCATGTGACTGTTGGCGTGCTCTCGCGGAACAAAAACAGCATAAAAGATGTAAAATAGAGGAAATGTCTTAAAAGAAAGACAGGGAAACAGCGAAACCAACATGATCAAATAACAAACCACAAAACGGGAAATATGATGATAAACATATTGTGAACTACATGCATTAGAAAAACTGTGCCCTAACGGGTATATTTTGAGTGTTCTCAGTTTTTCGCCAAATCGCCTTTTCTTTCTCTTTGCATCAATTAAACTTATATAAAATTTCATTATTCACACTTTTATAACAAAAATAAAAGTGATGCCTTGCACATAGTGGACCACGGGAAGTTATTAGAATTCCAGACACGCAAACCAAACGAAGCAAAACTTTTTCTCCTCAAGAACAATATGGTGTTTGTCAATATTTTGAATCAGATAATAATGAAGTCTTGACATTTTTTGGATCGTAATCTAGAACTGTTCTAAGCTCTAGATCACTTTTTCATCTTCCTATTTGTTTCGTGATGAGTGCTCTTTTCGATGAAACTATCTTAGAGAAGACAGCAATAAATTTAATAGTACGATATTGAATTAGATTAGGCAAGGAACAAAAGGAATTTAACAATTTACTGTAGGAGCTCTAAGGCTTGAACTTGACCAGTGATCCAATATTTCAGTACAAAGATTCTTTTCTTAGCTTATTTTGAAACATTCTTAAGACTGTTATGCTTTTTCACACAGGCCAAACAGTCACATCAAAAAACATAAACATATAAAATGCCGTCTGTTGATAATCGTTGATTGAATCCAGGTTTTTCGAGATTCCATAAAGTAGAACGAAAACTGCAATATACAGCAGGCTCAATTACTTGTCACGTCACCGGACATGATCGAAAAAGGCTCGCCACAGGAATGATGTTTAGCGAGTTGGTTTTTACAGAAGGGCAATATAGGTAAAGCTGTTGTTTCTTCAAATTAGAAACAATTGCCGACATTGTTTCGGCATTAATGGTCGCGAAGCCTCAGTGAGAGCAAAAACAGCTGTTTTATCGGTTGATTAAGGATAAAGTTAAACACGATTAGCTATTCAAGACTGAAATGAGCAGTGGACAATCCGTTGGCCAAGATGGGCCGGCAACTCAAGCACAAAATGAACTGTCAGATAGGCGAAATTCTACTGAACTGGCCTCGACGCGAAGGAGAAGAAAGATCTTCTGGGTGAGCATCGTGTGTTGGCTGATGATTTTGTGCGTAACAGCTATTATAATTATAGCTGTTGTACACTTTCAAAACTCTAAAAGCAACATAGATCAGATGAGTGCAGGCGCTCTTATTGGATTTGGAGTGTTGCTTATTTTTGTGCTTTTGTGGTCGGGTGTAATTTACTTCAAGTTTTATCGTTCGAAATCGAGAAGGGATCCGCAACAATACAGACCGAACCGAGAAGAGTTTGTAGCCTTTGCCTCCAACGAGATCGTTTCAAGAGGAGTTAGTTCAACAATTTCTACAAATAATTCTGCAACGTATAGTCGATCTACTAATAGCTCAGCCGAAGGGATTAATCCTGAACGTATTATATATCGCGAACGACGCTATGACGACGAGCGACGTTACAACGACGAACGACGAGTTATCGATCAGGCCGTGGAAACACCAATCATGACTTCGATTCCAAGTGCGTCTAGAATGACACGAGAATACATCGATCGCCAACTTGCTCTTGTCGGGAGATCACATGCAACACATCCTCCTGAACGCCAACGAACTGAAGCCGAACGCCCACGAATTATCGTCGACTCCAATCGTGCTCCTCCTCGTCAACATCATCGGCACTCAGTTCCAATGCCTCCACCATATCAACCACAGGTAGTCCCTTCATATAGAGCATCAGCAAGTTTACCCGCGGGTACCCCACCACCTGCTTATGACAGAGTCTGTGGCAGGAGGAACCGACGCGAGTCGACGGCGTCAGAAGACAGCCAGTGTCTGAGTCCTCCGGCTTATCAGTCGCGTCCTCCATCACCATCAGGTGGGATATCACAGGGGGTAGATACCACCAACATGTACCTTAATCTACCTTCCCAACGACCAAGACTGGTGGTCGGTCGCCCTGTTTCCATGCAATTTCCCGTTGAAAACATGAGACGCTATGAAGTAGCGACGAGCCAACCACGTCAGCAATTGTCACTACCATCTACTGGCAGAATTTTATCAGAAAATGCCATTTATCCTGTGCCATCGAGAGCAAGGCGAGTTTCTCCTCCTGCAATACAAACTACGGCAATCACATCAATGGCGCCCTACCATCAACCACAACACAGATCATCAGCATCTCCACATTACCATGTATCACCCCATCTGCCGAATTCAGCATCACTTCCCCCCCTTGCCCTTGCACGGGGCCCACCATCAAGTCCAACACGCCAGCCTGTTTCACCACCATATCCTACAGCGCATGTACCATTTTCTCTCCCTGTCTTAGCTTTAGGTGCTCCAGAAAGCACGTCTCGGCTTTCGCTTACGTCAAACCGTCCTCCTTCTCCAATACAAGAAGCTACTGAAGACAATCAGGAAGAAAACGAGAACAATAAAATTGAAACGCCGCCAGCGGCGACAAGTGAAGTACGCAGACCTAGTGTCGTTCTTGTCTATTTATCACAATCACCAGAGGAGGATATAGTCGTATAAACGTATAAGAACGTTGACATTCCAAGAACCGTATGAGCTTTTCTCTGTCGAATCAATGAGACTTAGGCTTGAGAAAAGAGGAAACGAAATGAACTGCCTAAAATATCTAAATATGCTTTCATTTTTAAAGAGCAACAAAGGAAACATTTTGCGAAGACGTTGAGATTTAATGCAATCTCGTACATGATATATAACTGTCTGCCTGCTTGCAATAAAATTGTAATTAATTAATTCATTCAATTTTTAATATTTTATTATTTATTAAATCAATGATAATTATAAAGAACCTCTTAATCATAATTGCACACTGTTGAAACAAGGGCTATTAACGAAACGTTAAGTATTACAGTAATTATTGCTAACTTCTTCTTATGAATGAAATATCTAAACGGTCGTGACGATGATCAATACAACAATTATTACGTAACGGGAAATTTGTTTAAGTTGGATCAGAAGTAAAATATTACTGCAGTGATTAAAAACCAGGATTAACAGGCTTGACAAAAAAGAGCAAACTTTCGACTTATTCTACATTACTTTGTCTATGTACAATTTAAATTATGCTGAAATAAAATTCTTCTGGTATTCAAGTTCTCATATTATATGAGTTGAAACTTTACCGAGAGATATGACGTTGGGTAAGAGTGGAAGACAATGAACTGTATCTAAAAAAAAAACTCCGGCCATGCTTATATTAGGTCCTTTTAGATATTTTGGAGTGTGAAAGTAATTAATGATGGGATGATTTCCTTGTGGAATTATACTGTACGTACATGCACAGGGAAGTCCTTACATACGTTGGCTCCAACATCGCAACTCATCTCTCATTTCAAATACACTTTCATTTGCATCAAGTACCATTAACGACTTGTAATTATGACTTGTAATTCCTTTTTTTTTTTCAATTCGACGTTACAGCTAGACAGACTGATTCCAGTACGTGATACGAACACATCTGATTTACTAGTTTACAATTTACAGATAGCAGAGACCAAGTGCGTGTACTTTTTCCTCGACAATTATAGAACTAGGGTACATTAGACTGAAATATTTCCGCGATTGCGCTCGAGTCCAACATATGTCAGGATAATCGGGTAGATTAAATTAGCAAGCATTTAAACTATGCCATAGCACTTAAACTTTCCCAAAGTATGAAAGCCTCTTTCGTGTTCCTCCCCAGTATCTCCAAACCTCAGCTGTTTAACCGGAAGACTTTTCTTGTCGGTGAGGAGACCGCTGTCTTCTCGTAAAACTCCGTCGTTTTTGTCGCAGTTACAAACGATGTCGGGTTTTGGGCACGTGTTGTTCATTCCGCATGCGCAGATTTGGTCTCCTTTCCCAGGCGAGGCTCCTCCCCAGTAATTCATCTTGATGTCATCGCGTGATACCCACCATGCGAATGTTCTGTTTTGCCAAACGATGGACGAAGATTGGCACTCATACTTAATATACTGTTCACAATGTAAGGAAACTTTGGCTAGATTGGCCAGCTGGGACAGACTCGCTCCTGTGTAATGAACGTCTCGTGAATAACATCCTGGGCCATTACATCCTTTCACTAGCATTCTGGTTTCACTGTCGTGACTAATGACTGTCACCCCAACTCCATTCTTGTCACTCATATCACAGGTGACGTTAAATAAGGGCGGGAAGCCTCCCTCGCCATCAGGGTCAATGATGTACGAGCCACTTTGTGCTGCAGGGTCAATCTGTTTCAAGGCGCTGCAGGACCTCGCTAATGCTGGGGATTGAAAATTTTTAATGTTAAAATTTACCAGCGTGTATCGATTAGAGGATGGTAAGAATAAAAATCTTGGAACGTTAAACCAGGGTAATTAGCACCATTTTTGCCGCGAATATATCTAAAAAAATTACGATTCCATCTCATCAAAATGGCGAGACAGTGAGACTTCAAATATTTCAGTTTCTGTAATATTTACCAATGATTTAGGTTATTTGTGAACTTTCTTGATTAAATTGGCAGACAACAACGTTAAGTTTTTAGAAACTTAAAGCTAAATATGAATTTTTTGTTGTTGTGTGTGTGTCTGCGATAGAAAATGGCCAAACTTCGTACAATTACCTAACCATTACTAACAAAAGCTTTTAACCCGAAATTGGGATTTTCTGGTACAAATGTAGTATCTATCATTAAAAAACGTTTCAAAACCTAACGGATTTTATGGATTCCCAGGTCATTAATTATTAAGGATCAGTATGCATTATAATACTTCATAGGTTAAGTAAAACATGTAATAATATTTTTTTCATCGTCAATTATGCAAAAAGAAAACTCTTAGATTTTTAATTATTTTATTTTTTCAGAAGATCACCGGCCGTGTAAAATAAGCCACGTACGTTAGTGAAGGAAGCTCTTTCAATTAAAACTAATCGTATTTATTACACATCTCTATGTTTGTTTGAGTGCTGTGACACCCATGAGAAACTTTTTGTGTTTGTTTTTGGTGGAAATGGTAATTATTCGGCTTCTCCCTAGGATATCACGACCTTATTAAAAAAAACAGGCAGCTGTATTAATACACAGATTTATCAGCACGGAGGTTTGATCTTGAACTCATATCAAACGATCTCCTTATCACAAGTTGAAAGGGAAATGTATGGCGTTTTTCAATCGAGATCTTGGCAATGAAATTAAAGGCATTGATGTTTATTAATAGGGTATGTGCTTGACCGCATGCTGGTTAATGAATAATAACAGAGTACTACGGTCGCCGAGATAAAAACTTTATTATTAAGAATGTGACTGAATCATAATTCATTAAGAATGGAGCTTCACGGCACACATACAAAAAGGCTAGTTTTAAGAGTTAACGCTTGATATTACATTTGCCAAGGTTTATTTATATACTCTGTTGAGCTACCTTGACGCAATTAGCAAGAATCCCTCTTTGCAAAATAAAAATTGAAAAAATTTTATTTCAAATCCTAGTCAAACAAGGCTCCAGTAAACAGCTTGATAGTGATTACAACAGAGCCAAGAAACTGACGACATATCCGAACTAACATACATCAAACGCTTGCAATATACACTATGAACGATTTAAAACTTGGTATCAATTTTGATCTCCAATACCGAGGAAATAGGATACCTCTAAGCTTTTTAAAGCTTAGAAAGTTTTTTAAAAAAAAGCTTTCTTTGAAAAATCAATTTCAGGGAATTAAAACGGCGAACGAAAAAGATTCCGGCATCCCTCGCCTTCCAATTAGAGTCATTTTACTCCTAAAATGTGTTAAGGTTATTCACCTGATATTTATTTTGCTTTCCTCTTGACATCGTTGTCTCAATGGCCTTGTTAACCGTTAGCCATAAACAGTGAAATAATTTAGCCGTTAGGTGTAAGAGTTGACAAATTTTAACCGTTAGTCGTAAAAAAAAACTAACCGTAAACATAATTTTTCCTGTGACCACAAAAGAAAGTTATTAACCATAAGCCATACATTTGAAAAAATTTTAACCGCGAGCCGTAAAAGCAATCACCCTAATGAGACCCTCTGACAAAAGCGTTAACTCCGATCCAAAGCAATATTATTATCGTAGATGTTTTTTCAGAGTACCTGGTTTAGTCAATCATCTAGCTGTTGGAAATGCAATGGTTTCTGAGTGTCTGAGATGCATACTTTATCTTCTAATCAGCTATTTTCAAAAACTTTTTTTTACCTGGGTAGCCGGGATACCTCGCCATTCCCATGTAAGTGGATGACTTATCTGTCACAAAGCAGGCCCGGCAACTATGCTCTCTTGCTTTGCTGTTCAAATCACATATTTTCTTCTCCCACCAGAAATTAAAACTCATGCACTGAGGATCAAGCGCGCATATATCTACGCAGTCAGAATAGTGTGATGTTTGCTTTGTGCTGTAGGAAGAGTTGAGAAGGGCAAAACCAAGCTGGGATTTCTCTTCACGACACATACCACCATTTGAAACCGAAAGTTGACGGTGAAGACAGAGAAAAGCTAACCAAATGCGCTGGAGATACATTTATCTCCGGTTGCTGCAGCCTGATAATGTTAAGATTCGGCGACTTTGGAACACAGCCTATTCACCTGTTCTCCACAGTTGGAAATCATGATAATGCATGACACTATATTGCTTTTACTTGTAGGCGTTGCCTAGCGACTAAAAAACACTGAGGTCGGTCTTGTCTTACATGAAAGCTTTTTAGTTCGATTGTATTTATTAGCTTTTCATCTGGTGTACCCTGGATAAAAGGCAGACGAAATTTAACAATTGGTTCATACGTCAGCGTGCGTTCATCGAGATATGAAGCACGCGGGAAGTTTGGAGAGCACGAAAGATGCGTAAGGGTTGCTCGAGGCGTAGCCGAGAGCAACTCTAGCTTCTTGAAACATCTACGAAAGATGCGTAAGAGTTGTAACTCTAGCTTCTTGAGTGCTCTCCAAACTTCCCAAGTGCTTAATATCTCGATGAACGCACAGCTGACATATGAACCAATTGTTTTATAACATTTTCAACCCGATGGAAAATTTTTTTCTCGAGGGATTTGTTTGCTGATGTCATGAGCGTGCACAATAGGAATATGAAGCACGCTCGCGCAATTGAATTTGATTACACAAATTTACTGGCTATGTTATAAGACAAGCTAATGAATTGGCATTTTAATCATCTTTCCAACCACTGATTTGCGTCTTTCGCCAAAGCAGCGGTAATCAGTTTATTTTAGTATGCACAAACCTTAAAAATCCCGAAAGGTGGTTGTAGAATTGTAAAAATCGCCATTTGGCTGAACTTCCTCGCCCTGCGGGCTTAAAGGGAGTAACAGTTTTATAAACGCATCACATTTGCACACCATGGATTATATACATGAAAGAATGATATTAACGTAATTTAGTCATGGAAAAAAATCCGCATGCCTTGTATCAAGGGTTGAGATTAACACAACGGATAAAAAATAAAACAGAAGAGGTGCTAAAATTCACATGGAGAGAAGTTAACGAGACAGGATTTTTAATACCAAAATTCACAATACAGAGGTTTTCGTGAAACTGTCCATTGACTTATGACGAGCTCGCCAGTTCGTGCGCGCCTTTTTACTGCAGATGATAACTTTGAAAGGACTGTGCGCGAGAGAAAAAAGCTTTTGTTCCTCAGTTTTCATTAAAGTCTGAAGTGTCTCGAGAAGAGAAGAAAATTGAAATGATAAAAAATTTTGCTGGTAGCAATTCCTTTTTTTTACGTAAAAATGAAGCTTGAAATAAGCCAAAGCGATTAAATTAACGCGAATTAGAAAATCTCACTAATTTTATGAAGTTTTACTTTCCTATCGTCGGGTATCACTGAAGTTTTTCTCGATTCTCACAGATGTTTATCAACCAATTATGGACGTGACTGAAAACCTGAAAACTTTGAGATGTGTTTCTGCGCAACAAGAAGACACTTTACAGAGGGGGCGAGTCGGAAAAACACTACAAGTCTGCCACTTCCATGTTCCCCTCAAATCAGTCAAATGAAGTAATCGTTTACAGCTAAATGAAGCTAACTTCCTCACATTGTGTAAGCTTGCAGCGAGTGAATCGAAAAGAGCCCGTAACGTAAACGATGAAGCTTGATAACCAACATTCACACTATTTCTAAAGATGTGCAGGTCAAAAGTTCACAGAAAATATAGCCCTGCAAGATGCTATGATGATTATCAATACTTCCCGTAACACTAAAGCATTGACTTGTTTCCGCCTCTACTACTGTTCCGCGTTGCTTAGAAAAATGCAACGACATCATAACTTTGAAAGGACTGCGTAAGAGAAAAAGCTTTTGTTCTTCAGTTGTCAAAAATGTCTGAAGTGTCTCGAGGAGAGAAGGAAATTAAAATGATGAGAAATTTTGCTGGTAGCGGGTCATTTTTTTTTAGTTAAAAATGAAGCTTGAAATAAGTCTACGCGATCAAATTAACACGAATTAGAAAATCTCACTAATTTTAGGAAGCTTTATTTTCCTGTCGTCAGGTATCTCTTACGTTTTTCTCGATTCTCGCAGATGTTTATCTATCAGTTATGGACGTGACTGAAAACCTGAACACTTCGAGATGTGTTTCAGCGAAACAAGAACACACTTGACAGAGGGGGCAAGTCGGTAAAAAACTCAGTACAAGTCTGCCACAGCCATGTTCCGCTCAAGTCAGTCAAATGAAGTAATCGTTTACAGCTTTATGTGCAGGTCAAAAGTTCACCGAAAATGTAGCTTTATACCCCTGCAAGATACTATGATTATTATCAATTATACTTCCCGTAACACTAAAGCATTGACTTGTTTCCGCTTTTACTACTGTTCCGCGTTTGCTTAGAAAAATGCAACGACATCAGAACAGGTCTCATGAGTAAGTGTTGTAGCACAACAGGAAATCAAAATGTTCGATCCGTCACGTCGACCCTAAGGACTTTATAAATGCACTCATGATTGAAGGACTTATCTTGTTACTTTATTTGAGCACTAGATCGTTCATGAACCGGCCGATCGTCTCCTCAAAAGTCAAGATACATTGATCACTATATGTCTATGAATTTGAGATATCTTTCTGAAAGCTGTAACAATGAAACAACACGAAAAAGGAGAGAAGCAAATGAAGAGAACACAGATGTTGGAGCGCTTTTGTT